CCTCTGTGGTCTAACCTCTGTGGTCTAACCTCTGTGGTCTAATCTCTGTGGTGTAACCTCTGAGACCAACCTCGAGCAGCAGCAGACCAGCCGTCAGACCGGCCACCAGCAGCAGGTTGTTCTTGGTCCACCACACGATTTTCTCCAAACAGCCGATGGTGAAAACGTCCTGAGCGGCCAAACGTTCCTCCAGCTGCTGCATCTCATAACCACACATGGTGTTCAGCACCGTCTGCAGGAGACACCGACACAGACCTGAGACCAGACAGGAGCCCTACGTCTTTTTCTCTTCCCCACTTCCTGCCTGTGATGCAGGTCAAAATTCCTGGAACTAAATTTTATTTTGTCTGTTTTTGTAGATTTTTTCTTAATAACAAAAAAATAAGTAAATAATCTAAAAATTGAGTCGTAGATGTTTTTTAATTTATTCTGACATTTGCTGAAAAAAGAAACTGCAGATTTCCACTGATACAGCGAGAAAGAGAAGAAACATGAAACTGTTTGCTGTAGCCTCAGAATATCTCATTCCTTCTCTCCATAGGATGAACCCTTTGACTCGCTGATTCCTCTGCCGCCACCACAGGACAAAACGTTTTAACAAAACCTTTAGAACAGATCGACCATAAAGAAACGTTTGCAGCTAACGCCCTGTGGTTCGTTACTGATGAGTCGCAGCAGTTCAGTCAATTAATCCTTTTAAATCAGATCAATTAAGAACTGGACTCTTTGATCACTTTGATCATTTTGATCACTTTGATCATTTTTACTGTTACAGACAAAATAAAATTCTAGTTTTGAAATTTCTCGGCCCTGATGATTATCACCTGTTTGAGCTGAAACTTCAAGTGAACAGATTTCAGATATCACAGCGCCCTCCTCAGACCTGACCTGGTTCTGCAGGAGGATGCAGCAGGAGAAAGGAACTCCACAGGCCTCCAGACTGGGGTTTGTCTCTGAACACTCGAAGTAAACGTTACGGGACCAGTCCTTGTAGCTCTCCACACCGCAGCACTGAAACTGGACAGACAAAAGTCAGTACCACAGCGCCACCAGCAGACGAACTGACGCTGATCTTCTTCCTTCACCTTCTTCTGGATGAAGTCGATGGCGTTCTCCAGGTCCCTGTCCTCCCTATATCTGACGATGGCCTTCATCATCAGCCTCTCCGTCCTCTCCATCACCTGAACCACAGACTGAGTTAGTTCTGACGTCTCCACATGTTCCAGCAGTGGACTCTAACTTTAAAGTTCTTATTCTCTGGTTCTCAGATCCATCACTTTTCCATTTAGGACGAAGGCGAAGCTGGAGCCAATCCTGATCCTTTGAGAGGCTGATCTCCGCCTGGACAATCCGTCCATCACAGAACCGTCGTACACATCAAACATTCATGCTCACATTCACCGCTCAAACCTAAATACTGCGTTTGGACAGAGGGAGGAATCAGGAGAACCTCCACATCCACCTTCAGGACAACTGCTGTAAACTACTTTTGTGACTTCAAATGTATTCCAACTTCCTGTCCCATTATATCGCGTTACCATGTCGGTGAAGCTATATCCCATGACTCCAGCGCCGATCTGCAGGAGCAGCACGACCACCAGGATCCCCAGGAACTGCAGGAGGTAACGGTGTGAGGTTACAACAGTGACAAATACTGAGCAGACCAGTGGTGTCCAATGGTGGAAAGTAACAATGAACATTCAGTCAAGTCTTTTTGAGCGACTTTATACTTGTAGTCCACCACGTCTCTTACTTTACATCACTGTTATCATGACGAACATTTGTAAAGCACAGACTCAGATCTGTTCTCTGTCGTCTCCTGTGAATCATGTGACGTCCTCTGGGATTTCTCTGGTGACCCTTTGAGGGGCCCCGGGCCTGTGTTGAGAACCAGTGGACTAAACTACTTAAAGCTGCTTCAACAGTAAAAGGACTTACGATTAAATCCACAGCTTGAAGTTGTTTTTGAGTATTTTTACTCTGTTTAATTAGCATCTGACTCGGGTGTCACGTCATACCATCTTCAGCAGGCAGGTGGCGTTACGCAGTGACCCACAACACCCGAGGAACGTGATGAGGAACATCACCGAGCCAACGACGATCAACAACAGAGCTGGATCAACTGTTAGAGTGTCGACAACATCTACACACACACACAAACAC